GTTCAGCAGCTCTCTGGGCAACTGCAACTCTAATTTTTTTTATATTTAATGATTTTTCTAACATACAGTGATACAATAAAAATTCAGTATTGAAGACAAAACTTGCCTCTTTTAAAAAACCCACAACTTCCTATTTTGAAAGTTCTTAAATGCTGGTTATTAAAGTGAATTTTGAGATTTCATGATGCATACAGCTATGTATCAAGTTTTTTCTGCATGCATAAAGTAAACTGCAATTACTAAGTAATGAAAGCAGAAAAATCCTTAGTCGTCTTGATGCTCACAAAGTACATAACTTAGCCTGAAGCAAATGCCTGCTTTCAAATCTGAACATAACACAAAACTGAGTTAATCATTGCATGAAGCTAGGTTAACTTGAGTAAATGCCTAAAATTGCTATTTGTCATTCCGTGAAAGAAAAAAAAGACAATGACACTAATTTGTAACTGGAGATTAAGGAGTGCTGCAGATTGAGACTGTTACGGTAGCTTCATTTCGATGGATAGACTAATTTTCCAAGTTTTTTCTAGTTAAACACATCTAAAATTCTTAAGCAGAACTTAAAACATTTCTGAATAGAAGCTTCCTCTCCCCATTTCCTAAAATGAGAGGAGCCATTTTTGCTTTAAGGGTTTTTTTTTCTCTGCTCACTACTCAAGTACCTTTAACCATGCTGTAATTAACTAAATAGTAAATTAAATATTCATAGAGTTGTGACGGTTGAAAAAGACCTCTTAAGATCACAGAGTCCAACCATCCACCTTGGAGGGGCAGGGGGGAGGGGGAAAGGAATAACCACAACCTCATACCCCACAAAACCCAACACCACCACACAACCCTGAAAAGCCCACCATGCCAAATAGAGCGTGCCCTGAATTATCATGAGTGGCAGTGAGGTGGTGGTAAAATCACAGGATGTCTAGGGTTGGAAGGGACCTTAAAGATCATCTAGTTCCAACCCCCCCAAATGGGCAGGGACACCTCCCACTTGACCAGGTTGCTCAAAGCCCCAATCCAGTCTGTCCTTGAACGCTCCAGGGAGAAGGCATCCACAACTTCTCTGGGAAACCCGTTCCAGTGTTTTACCACCCTTAGAAGAAAGACTTTCTTCCTAATGTCAAACGTGCATCTCCCCTCTTCCAATTTAAAACCACTATCCCTTATCCTATCCCTACATGCTTTTGTAAAATGTCCCTCTCCAGCTTTCCTGTAGCTCCATTAGGTACTGGAAGGCTGCTGTAAGGCTTCCCTGGGGCCCTCTCTTTTCCAGGCTGAACAACCCCAACTCTCTCAGCCTGTTTCCACAGCCCTGTGCTCCAGCCCTCTGATCATCTTTGTGACCCTCCTCTGGAATCACTCCAACAGGTCCATGCCCTTCTTGTGTTGGGGGCTCTAGAGCTGGATGCAGTAGTTCACGTGATGTCTCATGAGAGTGTAGAGGAGGATAATCGTTTCCCTTGACCTAATGGCTAACCTAATCATAGAATCATCCTGGTTAGAAGGGACCTTGAAGATCATAAAATCTAACCATTACCTAAATTCCCCTACCATAACCTGATTTACCTGTTCAGTGATTAAATCAAGTCAGTAAGCACTGTATCTACATTTCTTCTAAATACATCTGGAGATGGTGACTCTACAACCTCCCTGGGCAACCTGTTCCACTGTCCAACCAGAAACATCTAAGAACCAAACTGGATCAGATAAGTACAGTGAGAAAGGAAACTAGGTGATTTAAATTTGTTATTTTGCCATAAATCTGGAACATGCCACAACTTGAAAATTTATTTTTGATTACCTAATGCTGAAAAAATAATTTTAAAAGTTTATTGGAGTCTGAAAAGAAAACAATTTTATGTAAAAGTGAATACTCTAAGTTCGCACGTAGGTGATGACTGTTCTTGCTTAAGCTTTTAAGCTGTACATTTCATTGCATGTGGTACTACCAGAACACATGGCAATTCTCACCTCATGTCTTACACAGTGGACAGTGTTGGAACACCTGGATGCAGACCTTTTCAACCGTGGTTGAAATGATACTTTGCTGTCTTAGAGGTCAGTGCAAAACAGTTGGCTGCACTAAATGCATGTGAACAAACGTGTAGTTAAGTTTGATTGAAAATACCTGGAAAAGATAATTATTTTCTGCTATAGTTCAGTCTAAAATCTAGCATACCAACCTGAATTAGTAAAACAAAATCCTGAAGATAAATTGCCAAGTAAAGTGCAAAACAGAATTTACAACAGATTGTCATTGAAAACTTAAACAGTTTTTTTGCAACTTGTGTAAAACTAGGTATCTGCAATAGTCATATTTTAAAAAAGCCCTGAACCCCTAAATAAGTCTTCTCATAATGGGGAGCCATCTATGAAAGAAAGAAATTTCCAAGTGCATAGAAGTTTTCTCTCCTGATCATCTTAATTGCACAGAAATGAATCACTGGGTTCTTTTATCTTTTCAGATGGCATGACTCATACTTTCAACAACAGAGTAATTCAACTGTAATAACTGATCCTTTCTGTGTTGAGAGCAGAGAAGGGTAACTGTGTATGAAGCCAAGGGAACTTTTTAATATTGCAATACCAATGCATCATTCAATCCAAAAAAGAAAAGTGGGATAAGTACACTGTAAATTTGGCCTTTGTCTTTAACTGAAATACTGGTAAGAATCATCTTAGTTACAGGATTAAGGTTGCAATAAAGAAAAAATAATTTAGTCATTTTGCAATGCTTGCAAATTTACTGCTGCCAACAAATGTAAAAGATTTTTTAGAGGTAGCTAGTCCAAAAGCAGTGGCACTTTTCCCATCTGTTTAACTTACTTTTATCATGCTCTTTCTGCTTACCTGCTCTGAATTTTCTAAGTATAAAAGGAAAGATCTGTTTGTCATGGGTTTGCTCTGCTTCTTGGGGATACCAGTAGTCTGAGTTAGGATCTGGGTAGAGAATCCACACTCTAGGGTCTGGACATTAAGAATATGCAAGTGTTATTTAAGGAATGTCGCTTCTGTTTTCCATAAGCTCCTAGATCTTTTCTCTGCAAGATGCCACAGTCTGTTGATGAAGGGAACAGTATTTCTGGAAATCGCATTTTTAAAAAAGCAAAAAGGCAGCTTTGAAAAAATGCTTAATATGATCTTTATACTCTTGGAAGTCTCTTCACCTTTGTAATGGTCCTGAACTAAGTAAAGATAGTGGATCCATGTATAAGGTTCTACTCAAGACATTTTTTTAATACAGTGATTTACCATTTAATTTTTCTTTCTTACCTGTACTGTCCTCAGTGGGGACTTTATAGAGCCTGTTTGCAGAGGGGACTTGGAATTTGCACGAACCATCTCTAAGCGAGACTGATAATCTGGTGGATGAAGCGAGGTCCGAAAAACCTGTTAAAGTGAAGGGAGCTGTGACGTGGGTTCCGTGATACAGCTTGCAAGCTAACAATCATCAAGACCAAAACTAGCAAAAATACAGCATTGGACAATTAAACCTGCTCTAGAAAGCAGCATTAAATGTAGTCTGAATTGATCAGTTTTTGCTGGAACAACATCCTTGCTCAACACACTTGGGTGGTAAAAGTAAACTTTCTTCAGAGATCTGGGGGGATTTACAAGTGGGAAACTGTCATGGTTTCCCAGAAACATGTAGCTGAATTTCAGGCTAACCTTGAGATATGAACCCCAGCAACTCCCTTCAGGCTCTCTGTTTCTTGGAGAGATGAACTCTTAGCCCCTTCACAAGCAAATCCTTGCTGCCAGTCACAGCTGCATCAGAGAAATTTTTTCAGAAAAAATCAGGAGAGTGCAGCTCAAGAAAAATTTGGAAAAACCCTTAGAATACAGGGGAGACTACAGTATCCATTATATTTACAAGTTTTCTCCAACAGCCACCCACTCCACAGCAAACCCACTAAATTATAATACTAATATCCTGATGCTAAAAATAATAAAGCTATCAGTGCAAGATTATTAATAAAGTCAAGGAACACAGTAGAATTATTGTCAGTCAATATTTTTATGGAAAGTAAATATTGTCAAATTAACACGAAGTTAAAAATGCGATTGGAAATTTGGTTTTGAAAGATAAAATACTAAAGGATAATTTCGAATTGGTGCCATGTGACACTTGAATAGTACAAAATTGTCATGGTTTCTTTTCAATGAAGTAAAAATATCGAAATGTCTTAAATGTGACTGTCACTGAAGAATCATGCTGTTGTATGTCTTGCACTAGCTGAATACTGCCATCCTTCATCCTCAGCTGTGTCATAGAAAAAATAATTTTAGGACTGGTAACAATTACAAAAAAAGATCAAAAAGAATCCAAATTTCTTGACAATCCGAACACATACACACAACATGCATTACAACAATAAGTTTAAAGGCCCAACATCCTGAATGACTGGAAGAATAAAGGACTTAAAAAACATGTCTTGTAAAAGAGACTGTAACACAAAGCGAAGAGAAATGTCGACTTGAAACTGTAACAGCCTCAAGGCAAAAAATGCAGGTTGGTACCATTTGCATCACTGTAGATCTTCACTTTTTAAAATCTCTGAATTTAGAAACCTGTACACTCTTGCTGGATAAATGCAAAAAAGGGCTTGGTATACATAAGAAGTTTGTTCTAGGAACCTGAAACATGTATAGCCCCAAAGCATGAAAAATGTTTTTATGTAGTAAGTAAATTGAAAAGCAAATCCTAATCAATCTTACCTCTAAATCTTCATTTTCATCAATATTTTGGATGTTTTGGTAGGCAGCAGTATATATCTCTAAAGCTTTCCCATGGAATAACATTTCAATAGTTATAAATTCAGAAAATATATTCTAAAAGCAAATGAAAACAATTTTTTTTAATGCAGTAAAGTATACTTCCACTTCAAATACAAGAAACTACTGAATTCTGTACTTGGTATTTATGGGATATGAGTAACTGCACACACCTAGTACTTTTAAGTATGTAGACTTGAATTTTAGAAACTAAATGTAAATAGTGGCCGAGTTGTCACATAAGCAGTTGCCAGTTCATACTAAATTCTAAGTAAACACTTAGGAAGTGAAGAGGAGACTCATTAGTAATAAATAAAAGTCATGCAGAAAACTCACTTGATAATCCTTATTAGGAATTCTCAAGATTCAGTCAGTGGATTTTTGTTTTATTGATGACAATATTTTTAAACAGGTTGGGGATAAATTATCTGTAAATTCTATAAATACTAATAATTTACAGAATACTCAGAACTCACAGTCTTTTTCTTATTACTCTAACATCAAGTACTGGTTGGGAATTTCAACCATCTTTCATTCTTTTCAATGTAGTCTTGTGTTTATTGTATCCCCCCCACCCCCCTCCCAATAAAAACCATCTCACTTCAGCAAGTTTATAATTATATTTGAGATCACATAATACAAGTGTTTTTCAGTCACAATAGTCCTTGGCACTTAAACCACTTAATGCTTTACATTAAGAAAGAAATTACTAGAAATGAAAGAAAGCTTTGATTACTTGAAGTCCCTGAACATTTCCTGCTTTCTATTTAAAACTGCAGTAACCTGAAAATATTTCAGCTTTGATAAATATATTATTTACTTATAATGATTCTAAGCTGGAAGAGGGTAGATTTAGGTTAGACATTAAGAAAAAATTCTTTAGTGTGAGCGTGGTGAGACACTGGAACAGGTTGCCCAGGGAAGTTGTGGATGCCCCCTCCCTCGAAGTGTTGAAGGGCAGGTTGGATGGTGCTTGGAGTAACCTGGTCTAGTGGGAGGTGTCCCTGACCATGCAAGGGGGTTGGAACTAGATGGTCTTCAAGGTCCCTTCCAACCCTAGCTACTCTGATTCTATGATGATTCTATGATTTCTGTTAATTGTAGTGATATTAATCCACATATATCATTCCACTAAGAAATGCATCTGACATGGAATACAGCAGCTCTTGAAAGGTGAAAACACTAAACAACAGGATACAGGAATATTCTGAATTCCATAAACTTTAAGAATAACAGTTTTTAATTGCAAAGTTGATGATATTTTGTTTGTAAATATTACTGAATACAATATTTATATATGTGCTTAAGTTAATACTACATGTTTTTTTATCTTACCAAAGATTAACTATAGTAATTTTATTATGCAAAACGAAATGTGATGCCATATACAGAAACGTGAGCACACTTACTTTTATGTCCTTTATTTTCTGTTTCTCAAAATTATCAATGGTTTCCTCTAATTGCCGAGTTGTTCGAGTTGCATCCAGTGAAGCTCTCTGCAGTTCACTTTCAGCCTGGTAAAGTAACACAGGGGTGAAATTAGTCCTGTATTTGATACAAAGATACTTGCTCTAATTGGCATGAAAACATCTAAGTCTGTGTTTTCAAAATAATACACATCTGTGTTATGGTATTTGTAAATTTCTTTGCAGCTTAATAAAGATGCCTTCTATGCTGTAGTGATTTTGATCTGAAACATGCAAAATGACAAGCTGCAGCCAGTCGGGGAAGTCCCACTGCCCTTATCCATTTTCTGCAATTATCATCTCCTAACTCCACAGAGTCAGCCCTGACATGGCCGATCACACAGTGACTGGGTTCAGGGAATTAACCCAGCACAAGGCTTTACTCTTCAGAAAAGGTTTTTTTTTTGAGCTGGTGCAAAGGAGAGGGCAGGAGTACACAGGCCAGCCCAGTAGATAAGCTGAAAAGATCACTCTTTTATTTTCAATCTGCTGGGTTTAGAATGACACTTTTCCAATGTCATATGCTGAACCTCATGTTACAAAGCTTTTATAAATTACTTGAATAGAAAATAGAATAGCAGCTGTAACTAATTCACCTCTCCCGTAAGTATCTCAATCAGTAGACTGAAGTTCTATAATTTTTAGATCCAAAAGTGTTTCAGGTATTTTATATTTTCAGTATTTTTATATTAACAAAATATTTTACAAAAAACACCTTAAACCGGGCACCAGGGAGGGGACACACCAACCAATCCCCAAGGCATAAATACACAGTGTTTCTTATTTTGTAACTACAAAAATAATTTTAGAAATGTATTTTAACTATCAATTGTATAGAAAAGCATACTACCATTTAAATAAAGATATTGAAGCTATTCTGGTTGAGTAAAGTCTCAGAACTGTATACTATCACAAAATAATTACACAAAGATGTAAGAGCTTGCACTGGAAGACTGCATCATTTGAGTCTAAACTTCTTTATTTTTCCATCCATTACTGGTCAAACTTTATAGACTAATTCAGACTGTAATTTACATACAGGTTCTGTCAGTGCATATAATCAAGAATCTATTCTTTCCTGGGATCTGGAAATAGTGTATGGATCAAGTAATTGCACAGTACAATCAAGATTTCTTCCGATTTCTACAATGCAACAACTTAGAGAGGAACTTTTTTTTTTTAAATGGAAGTAGCCACCACAGGCCCAGTTTCCACAACCTATTTTTTAGAGTTATGTGTATATGGAAACCTAAGGCACAAGGAATGCTGTCACTTCCTTTTCTTTGATTAAATCTGGTAACTTTATATTACAGGATTATAATTTTTAAGTGATCTTCTTGCAAACAGCTCAAAGTCATAGACACAATTCTGCCATAGCTGTGCAAACAAAATTGGTAATATCTTTAGTAGCACAAAAGGTCAGATGTTCATCTCCCTTTCCTGATTTTGCCCAAAACATAGGAGAGAAACAGAGTAAGAAAATACATTTTGTGTATTCTCAGTTATTACAATCAGCCACTTTCTGTAAATGAAGGCAGCTGTTACACATAAGCAGCCCTTACAAATACAGTGTGTTTTTCTATGATAATCAAATGTATTTCTCCACCCATCTTAAATAGATTGGCCAGATTTTGTGTGCAGATGCTTTGGGAAAGGAATTTTGTTTGTTGCAGACTGTCATGTCTAAACTTGCAGAATCTGTACAGTTTGCACAGCAACAGTTGGGTATTTTCTCTTCTGAAACACTCACCTGTGACTGGAAATACTAGTAAAGGAAAAAATGGCAAAATAGCAATTGTTATTAATAACAGTACCTGTTTTCACTTCTACTTTTAATATATGGGGAAGTATTTACCTTAGTTCAAAACTTCTGTATACTCGGAAGGTGCTATTATGATGTTGTCTGAAGCTTTCTGCTTTAAGACACCCCTTACAGTTTGTTACAGCTTTGCTAGAATTCAAGTATCCAGGCCAAAATATTTCAGGACAACTGCTTGTCTTGGACTGAGGGTTGGTTATTAATATGTTAAATAAATAAATACATCAGACAACCTAGGTAGGCCATTTCAGAAACAAAAAAATTGCATTTTTATATTTAAAAAATCTGGTAAGGTTTTATTTTCAAAGCTGCATGTTTTATAAGATGGACTTGTAATCTGGGAGTGAGTACACATCCTTTGCTTTCTGTAGGCAGTCAGCTGCTGAAACATCACAGTTGCTCAAGAGTAAGAATGCTTTCCTTTTCATGCATTTTGTGTTGATTACTTTAAAATGCAAATATGTAATGTTTGGTGCCTTTGGCCATATGCAAAACCAGACTGTACCGAGATTTAGTAACTCTTCAGGCAAATTCTTAAATACAGAAAACACAGGTGTTACAAGAAACTAAGCCACAGAAGGATGTTTGGAGTAGCTTAGGAGAGACAGGAAGAAACAAACTAGGTGCCAGCCATTTTACCCATGAAGTGAACTGGGAATCGGTGCAAGAGAGAAAAAAATGGGACTCCCTCTGGGGAGAAGAGCTTACTGTTACAATTTACTCCCTTCCTTCTAATGGAATATAACTGCATCACAGCTCAACTTCTAACCCTATAGCTGACATCTGTGTGTCTTTATCACATGAGGACTTGTAATTAGTCATCACTTGATTTAACTGGTTTGATTAATATTAAATGGAAATTTTTTGGCAGAGACAAAAATAAAAAGCAATTCTTATGGGTGGCATTTGACCATTACAATAATTTTTGCTCTTTCTGCGGTCCTATGGCCTGTCACTAGAAATGTCCTAATTTCTGAAATAAAGTTGATGAAATCCTACAAGGAATAGGACTGCTTCACTCCTGAGTCCAATGTTAAGAGTGTATGAAAAAATAAACAGCACACCATCATGAACTTAAATGCTGTGTCATAAAATATAGCTAAAAAGGGACTGAAGTAGGATGCCCCTTTATTTTGGCATTTCCCAGATTTGGACTGTTCATCATTTGAAACTTAAATGAAATTTTAATGGAAATTCCTTGGAGGCGTAATTTTTCCCTCTGTATACAAAATAGTAAATTAGGGAGGGTCACTGGTCTTTTAGAGGAAGAGCAGTCTGGTTGAATATTCTACTAACAGAATAATAATTTTTCCTTTCACATTTCATCTCACAGCTGGAAGAAACTCATACCCCATCTAGGTGTAAGGAAGCACAACTACCAAAATGACAGGGAGAAAAGCAATAAAACAAAAAATGACAGAAGGGCAAAAGGAGGTCTCTGATTACACTTATTTTGAAAACCTCCTAACTACTAGATGCAATCTATGCCTACATCTCTTGCATAAACATATCAAATACTTAGTTTCTTTTAAATCCAAAAGGGAGTAACAAAGCAGTTATTATAAGCTATAACTCATTACAAAGTTTCAGAAAAGATTCAACAGCAACACAGAAAAGTCTCTCCAAAGAGCATTCTTCTCATACTACTTTCTAGAGACAATAGTTTAATTCCTAATAAATTTAAAAAACATTTCTTATAGCTACTAGAAATACAGGATACAATAATGTGTCGATCTGATGGATTCCGTTGACGTGTCTTCTCCAGCTGAGAGAACTGCTTGGCTTCTCGATGCTTTGCTGTTAAAGTTGCTTTAAGGTCATCCTGGAAATAAAACGTTTTAGACATGTTTGAAATAGATCTAAGATAATATAAAAAGCACTTTTCTTCATACATGCAAAAAAACCAAACCACAAACAAAACTTCTGCTTTAAACAAAACTAGATTTTATTGATCTTACTTTGTTATAAAATCCCCTGAAAGAGAAATCAATGGGGACCAAGAGAGCTTAGCACCTTGCACAAATCCCTGCAGCACACACTAAAATGTGAGGGGAAAAAGAAAAAGGTATTTACAGCTTTTAATGAAAAGTGCAGTGGATGGTCAAAAGCTGAGATCCCCAAAGCAGTAAGGAGACAGGCCCATTTGGGCTTAGCAAGGGAATAAAGGCGGCATTTATAAAGAAAAAGTGGCATAAAATATATCAGTAGAAAAAGCCAAAACAGACAGCAGTCAGTACCCATCAGAAGTTATGAAGAACACAAAACTGCTACACAGAGCTTAAGGTGCCACAAAAATTGCTGGCTGAAAGGGTTAAACTGCATATTTAGCTATGCAGTTAGTAAGGTGGTTTTGGAATAATCCTAGTAGTAATGTTGCTGGAGAAGATGAAACTTACTGATTTGGAAAATGCAGAAACTGTTGACAAATATTTTTGCTCCTCATTTTCAAAGGAGAAGTAGGATGTATTTCTACAAAGATCTGTGACAATTTAAGAATAAATTATTGTTCATGCTATTAAACCGTGTTTTTCAAATAGTTTTCCATACATGGAACCTAACAATATGTCAGTCAGATATTTATCACATTATTGATCCTATTATGGGAAATTACATTAATTTTGATGGCTCTGCTTTCAAGAAGCAGTGCCTTAGAACAAACAGAAATACAGCCCAAAGGAATCAGTCTAACAAAACATGAGGCAGGGGATGGGCATGCATTTAAAACCATCATTTCCTCTAAAAAAAAGCAGTTGCGTTTATCTATCACTCCAGAATGGAGTGGATTAAAGCTATTAAAAGCTATAATCTCAGGAAGTTTTGTGTGCTCCTTCCCTGGATTTCAGAATTTATACATGGTTGTTCACCCTGAAAGACACACAACCAAGATGTGTCTCTTTAAAAGTTCTGTGATCCTGTGACCAGTCAGTAGTCAATGACACGCATAAGCCTGCCAAGGTTCACAGTCCTGTGTCTTCAATTACAAGTCTGTACATGAGGTCTGGATCAAAACACTCAGTTTCTTCCTTGCTTCTGTCCTTACTGTCTGTATGTCCCTGTGTCAGACTGTTGTTTTGCTATATCTTTAGGGACAAAGAGCTGGTTTCTGATAGCAAAAACTGGATTTTGAACCCATTAAAACTAATTTTGCCACTGTTCTTTCAAAAGGGAATTTACAGCACCTTTAAGGCCATGTGAAAGGCTGTTGGAAAGGACTTTCTCCTTCATGCAAACCATGCAGCTGCAAGAAAAGTGATAATAGAAAAAAACTTTATTGCTTTACATTTTAAATTTAAATTAAATGCAGAAAAAGTGCATTTATTTTATTTTTTTTGCCACAGAGCAAAGCAGTTTTGTAGCTAATGGCCACAGCTGCATGCTTAGTGTTATTTAACAACTGGGCCCTGGTAACAGCACTGACTTTCTAAGCTCATATAAAACAGACAATTAGATTTAACACTGTGGCTGAAAGTGTTCTGACTTTTATGCAAAGTATACTTGAGAATGCTAAGGAAACCACTAGAATTACCATTATAGTATTCAGAATTTTTTTTCAAGTACATAGTGACTTCAGAAATACCTACAGGGACTGCACTCTTCCCTTCTCTACCTCTGTTCCCTGTGGCAACCAAAGCCAATAAACATGCTTCTCTGTGCTAGCCAAAGCCTGATGAAGATTTGGTAGTACTGCAGCTACAGTGGTGGAGCTACATACAAGTTTTGGATGTACAAAGATAGGGCACAGTTACATATTTTCTCTAGGATTTTGAAAAACTGAGGAGGGTGCAGAAAAAAATATTAAAAAGCTGGGGAAAATGCCATTATGGTGAAAGAACTGAGGTCTGTGTTTTTAGCTAACTGGAAAGAATGAAAAATTGTTTACCAGCATCTAAATACCTTCATCCAGGAAAAAAAAAAAATAGTGTCACAGAACTCTTTAATCTCAGTGGAATATGTAATAAGCACCAAAGATTAGATGAAGTCTTTCACTTAAAACACCACATACCCACTAACTACTACAAACAGTCCTACCTTCCCCTCCAGTGTCTTCAGATCAAGATTTGACATGTTTTTGGAAAACATGCTTTAATTGCACTCGAGGAGAAATGGAATGGAATGTAATAGCCAGGGACATAAATGACAGATACAGAGAACAGAAAATTATTAGTAGTCCCTCTGGCTTTAAACTATGAATTCAAGTCACACATAAAAACTCTGGTCAGCCAGTTAATTTCAAACCATACAGAAGTACAGCTACAGTCCATCCACCAGACAATGAGCTGGCAGATCCTCATCACTGTACTGTTACCTGCTTTAGTCACTGAAGTTATTTAAGCAAACCAGTCCTTTCTTCTGCAGGTGGATCACCTTGTTTATATGATGTCCTGTTATATATGAAGGAAGTAGGAACAGAGTTGCCAAAAAGCAGAAAAGTGAAGATTGATATATAGAACATTGAAACAGAAAGAACTCCTAAAATCCTACACTGAAGCTGCATTACAGGACAAGAATACTGCATTAGCTTCCACTGAAGCTGCCAAATCCCCAGAGAGCTAATTGGTAAACCAGGACATGTGAATGAAACAATTTTATTGCACTGATCATTAAATGACAACTGTATTCTGATTGATTTGGGCCTCTTTAAAGCATTTAGTATCACAAGACACTGATGTTTTATCCAAGAGAAATAGCAACAGATTATTTCAGATATAGCACAAAAAAAGTTTGTGTACACCCTGGAGCAGATCCAGTAAGAGGCAGTGAGAACATCCTCCTTAAAAAAATTGAATTAATGACATTCTTTTTTTTTACTTTATCAGCTAATGTAGTTACAGGCAAAGCAGTCTTACAGCTAGCACCCTGTGCTAGCTTTACATGAGTGACAAAACTTATTTTTTCACTAAAAATGTCATGGTGTCTAGAGATTATAACTGAAGACCAGAAAATTGAATTTTTAATCAAGATTTATGGTAACAGGCCAGGGGAAAAAAAAATAATAAAAAAATTAAGCCTACATCTTCAGTGTAGCCTCTCCTACTTCAAAGATACGTTGAGAAAATATTTAATCCCATCTACAGTTTAAGAATTCTCTTGTAATCCTCAGTGTAGCGAAGATAAACATTATGTAATGGTTTCCGGCATTCTGAAAGGCAAAGACAACAGAAAATGCCACTCACTGTTTCTAGGGATGACCTGGTATAAGTTGCTTTTGTCCCCAGTATTTAATGAGGACATTTACATATCTTCAGTGCTTCTTCATGGTATTGAAAAGATACAAGAACAAAAATGTATGAAAAATGCTTCAGTTTGAGGTGCAATGCTACAATGTACTCAAATTAATAATTATTAACACACTAAGATTTTTGTATGTAAAACACCATCAAATATTATCAATTTACCTTTTGACTGATATAGATTATGATATAGATTATGATCTGTATAGATACAGATTTGCACATAACTTACAGACTTGAGTTTACAGGATGAAGGTAACCTCCATATACTATATATAAAATATACAAATATTACTGGAGGAAAGAAACTTACAGATATTTTGTGGAGACATTTTGAACCCCTGTATACACTGTTTCTAGAATATAGTGAAAGAAGATACCTCAGCTTTTTTTTATATCTTCAGGTCATCTTGATGACTTTGCAGGACAGAGAGGGAATCGGGCCACTACCTATTTATTGATTTAAAAGAAGTCTCTTTTTATAAATTTCAATGTAGAAAGCAAGTCAAAGTTGGAAAAGCTGTTCAAGGCAGCATATAGATGACTAAGAGCCAAACGCATTACATGTGCTTCACCTCCTGGAACTCTGAATAATAATAATAACAATAACAATACTACTAATAATCAATGACATCATTTATAAAGAAAAACATCCAGAATTTGCACTATCCTGGAAGTTTCACACTATCCACAGTGCCATTTTTTAGCATTTGCCTGTGCTCCAAGAGTCTGAACATCCTTGTCTTCACATCAAAGCTTTTTCCTCCAACATACATACAGCTTTGATTCAGACGTATTACTGTATAATTTAGACTCATTACTGCAGTATGAAAAATCAGAACCACTCTCCCCTGCAAAGAAGTTTTTGACTGAGTAGCCAGAAGACCAAAATGTACTTTGTGAGAAAATATGTTTAACCTACCCTTTTAAGTTTCACTATGGTCCCATAACTTTTCAGTGGTTCAACAACTTTGGCTTCAAGCCTGTCAACCTACAGAAGAAATCACAGGTCAGTAAAATCATCTGCATCTATGGTGTGCAGAAACAGGAAACAATTTGTTTACTCGTGATCCACTTTATTAGGAATTTAGTCCATATATGCTGAAAATACAGTGAGACAGAGGTTTATAAACAATTGCAAAAAAGAGAGTAAACTAAATTAACCAGTAAATATTTTGTATCTTGAGGAGCTCAAGCTGATTTCTAGTGGAATTCCTTTTTCTTAATTGGCAAGATGTAAGGATAAAGAAAACATGGAGGTTCTAACAGCTGAGTACTAAATACTGCATCATGGATGCCTGTATCTTTCTATCTAAAGATCAATATATTGGCTCTGCACTTGTTGATTGATTATGGACTAAACTGTCTTTACTATCAAACATACTGTAAGCAATGTAACACTTTTGTTCTTAAAAATAATGGGAACAGCATCGTAGGTATTAAAAATACCAAAAGCAGGTTGCCTAAAACATGTGAACGCTCGCACAGATGAGTGCATCTGAATTTTTGTTTCAGTTCTCTTAGTTAGAAAAAACCGACACATATGGCCAGACAGGCAATAGGATAAGACCTTCCTGCTTATCACAATTCAAAATAGTGCCCAAGTGGCCCCAGAATAAGCTGCTGATGACTTTGGAGCAGTGAGCCATCTGGACCATTGCTGTTATATCCAAACTAAGAGAAGGTGCAGAACCTCTACTAGAAAGAGACAGACAGTACGTTCCTCTCTAAACTGACAGTGTCACCAATCAGCCAAAATCTATGCCATCTGAGCAAATACTTCTCTTTTACGACACTCTACCAGTACAGAGTCAAACAATTTTACTTACACTACCAATAATATAGAATGGAATAGGGCAGTAAGGTTCTAAATGAGACAAACAATGTAGACATACCAAATAAGCTGGCAGTTGTGCAGACCCTTCCACACCTCAGCATTTATATCTCTAGCACTGCAGCTGAAGACCAGAAATCTGTAACCCTTATAAGCTAATCTTCTTTTGCCCACATGGTCAATATATATGAAAACGGTTAATTAACCCAATGCAAAAAAAAGTAAAACTGAGATTATCTATTTGGTTTTCATGAGCAAAGAACTTGATCTAAAGGCTAAAAGCTTCTCTTTTCCTTTGCTTCTTCTGCCTTTTCTCTTTCAAAAGGCACTGGTGGTTTGGGGACAGGCATTTGTATAGGCCAAATGTCAGTTTTTAACACACTTAAAAATCAAAAGAAGTAAAATTCAAGTTATTACATAGATACCTTGAAACTACAGATTCATAACTTAAAGGTGAAAACAGACAGAGAGATTATGTAGTTGACTCCTCATACACCTTTGGTCATAATATAAACTTATTCTATTAACAGAGGGATAAATTGCTATTACATCAACTGAAGCATGAGCACGTATGTGTGGCTCAGCTGGAGCCAGATGCGTAAGAGCTTACATAAAACAATAAAAATGGTACCATCCACACCCTTGGATTTGTTACTTCTTAAAAATCTGGCCCTACATACATTGTTAAAGATTCATGACTGTTTCTTATGTTTCAAACCCTCTACTTTGTAGATAACTCACAGGGTAACTATCTTTTAAAAGGTTTTCTTCTTCTAATTGGTTAATATCAAATGATGACTTACAATGCTGCTTTTTCTTAAAATAAAAAGTTATATCTGAAAACATCAAGAATGTCAACTCCTTCAGTCTCTTTTTAAAACTATAACGGTTCTCAGCTTTTCAAAGTCGTAAGTAGGAATTTTCAGCACTGTACTGAAAGGATATGTACTCCAGAAACCAGCTGGATTACATGTGCATGAATTTATTTTTTCTTAAATCTCAGCATTTGAAATTCAGAATTGCAAGTTAGTTTGGCCCCGCACATGGATGTGTAAGTGGCATCAATACCTTCCTTTACTCTCACTTATCTAGCAGAAGTGTGACTATGTTGTCACACGTGGTCCAAATCAAGTTTGCACTTTCAGTGTTAAACTCCAGACTTAGGAAATCTACAGTGGCCCCTGACAGCACCTCAGAGCAGCTGTCAGTGCCCAGTGAAGTATTCCAGTTAGCATTCTCTTCCATGCTGCTTCTGATAACAGACCTAGCAGAAGGAAAATGACTGATTTTACCTTAGCTGCTGCTAGACAACTCAAGTCACAACACTAAAAAAACACTCTGTTAACCACAAATCATAATCCAGAGTCTAAAGCCAATAAAAGACTTAACTCGGTCTCAAATTCTACGAGTGCTCATATGGCCAGTTTCACTGTCTTCAACAGGACTAATCACAGGCAGTTTTCATTCAGGTTCTCAGCAGAGTAAACGATGAATGCTTTGGCAACCTATCCTGCTTTGCCACTAAAATATTTAAAAGTGTTTTCTCCTATGTTTCTTTTGGGATTGGAGAGTATATCTTTTCCATTTTAATCACAGATAAGTAACTGAAAAGTTCAGATGGCAAACACAACATGTACAATTTTAATTTTGTACCTCTGCCTGGCGATAATCCTGAAGTCTGGAAAATTCATCTGCAAAGTTTTTCAGTCCAGCTCTTAAGTTTGGTGTCTCTGTAGCTGCATATGCATATATTTCATTTACTAGAATATCTGCTTTGTCTCGTAGTCTGGCAGTTTTACGAACATACCCAGCAAATATTTGGCACAATTCACCGAAATGCTTTTCCACATTCGAAACAGCATCTTGAATTTGTCTAGTCTGACTGTCCCTGGATACCAAAGAAAAATAAGTGAAAAATAAGAAAAGGGGACACGTGTTTACAACACATACAGAAGAAAAACTATATAATTCTACTATTAATAATTTATACATGACTTCGACATCTCATTTCAGTGCAAAACAGAAATATATTCTTACAAAGACAATGTTGTAAAAAGTTGATGTAATGTGTTTCATTATGAATTAATAACAAACAAACAAAAAAAGCAGGATTTATACTTGAAGATCCAATAGAGGAATATCCATATCACAAAAATCAGCTTGAAAAATTTCCTTCTGTGATTAAGCAAAAGCTCATTATTACTGTTGGTATTAATTACTAAAAGTGGCAACACCTGCTAGTCTCAAACGAGACTGGGTCATACATCTTCCTGCAAGAATCTGCAATCTAGAGACAGGTCCACAGTTGGAGAAATCAAGTAGTATAACAAATCTATAAAGGTATTAAATGTTCTTTAATTGTGAACAGGTACCAAACTGCTCCTGCTCAGCACTAGAGAAGATAAATACCACTGAGAATTACAGAAGAAATGTGAATGGACACAAGCACAGAGGTGAAAACTCTAAAACATAAGATACTCACTGCACCAACAAATTATTTTTGTTTAAATTATATATATTTTATTTCAACCAAATGACTGTATGCTTCATTATTAATTATCTAGGTCAGTTGTTCTTAATTTTTAATTCATATGTTTCATTTGGTATTTTGCTTTCCTGCTCCTACATGATCTGATGGTCTTGCTTTAGTTATGCTGCACTGATACTATTCAATGAAAACAGTGTCAGTGAATTGATGCCAGTTGTTCATCTCAATGAATCAACTACCAAACAATTTAGCTAACAGTAACTGCCAGATACTAAGTCCTAAGAAGTCTCCATAATGTGATTCATGTGGAGGGCTGGAATTCTCAGCAGGAGAACTCATTTGTACCCTTGTCTTGGTAAGGGACAGAAACAAAAATTTTGTTAATGTCCTTTAACTATCTCAACTCCAAATGCGGACCAATATTTAAGTATTGACTTAACATCACAACACACGAAAGCTGGAAAAATTGGAAGAAATTTAAGACTAAACAACAATGCAATCAATTCAAATGAAGAACACTTTTCTTTGGGAGCTCTTCAGGAAAAATATTTCAGGACAAAGTTCTGCTACCTGCAAAATCTCAGTTGTGTTGCTTCATGGCAAGCAGTTTAGAAGACTGTTCAAAAGATATTTTGTTCAAAGAAAAAAAATATCTATATAAGTTCTCCTGTCCTCCACAACATGCTTGGGCATAGAATCATTTGAATAGGAAAGAGTTCAGCCATTGAATGGAAAAGTAAGAGCCTCATTAAATGTTAATAAAGCTGTTTTTCAAAATTAAATCTTCAATAAAAAGTACACATTTTAACTTTATCATAAAGTCTTAAATGTCAGAAAGTGTTCCTTTCCCAGGGGAAGCTTTAAGTACATTTTGTCACCCACTTTACAATTCTGATCTTACAGTACTCCCATGCACATAATACATAATTTCGGGACATGAAACAGGGTATTTCCTCAGATGAGACTGTGAAATTCGGTTTCGGTGGTTCCCCTCCCGATCCTAATCATGTGTGACCGCTCAGAGGTGGCCACAAAATTACCAGCGAGAGGCCCGACTGAATCAGCCGGTCTTCACTTCACCTCTAGGCACACGAAGCCTAGAAAAGTTTTGCGGCCTTTCCCTGAGGAAAACAGGGTGGGATCCCCCCGCACCCCTGAGGTTGGCTGCCCTAAGGGGGGCCGGGTCCGCATCGCCCCCGGACCCGCACGCCGCTCCCAGGCACCCTGAGGGAAACGGGCCTCCGGCCGGGCCCGGCGGCACAGCCAGCCCGGCTCCCCCGGTGCAGCCCCCCGGGGGACGGGCAGGGACCCGCAACGGGCACCGCGGGCAGCCGCACGGCGGGGCCT